AGTGGAGGAAGAAATCAGGAAGAAGCGCTGGAAGTGGATAGGACACACATTGAGGAAAGCAACCAACTGCGTCACAAGACAAGCCCTCACATGGAATCCTGGAGGCCAAAGGAAAAGAGGAATACCAAAGAACACATTACGCCGGGAAATGGAGACAGACATGAGAAAAATGAACGAGAATTGGATGGATCTAGAAAAGAAGGCTCAGGACAGAGTGTGTAGGAGAATGTTGGTCGGTGGCCTATGCTCCATTGGGAGTAACAGGCGTAAGTAAGTATGTAACATAATAATAATAACAGATAAGAAGGATTGAATTCACTTGGTGTTGTTTGTTTGTATGTTGCCATTGTTGTTTAGGACTAAAACTGATCAACCTCTTGTTGGCATATGTGCATCCTGCGGAGATTACCTCGATATTACCTTAAGTCACAAGCTATATAGGCAAAGATGAATAGTGGCTAACAGTGGAATCCAGGAGGCGTGTTTCGTCCTATTTGTGACTCGTCAGCTAGATGTGAACTTCAACGCTTGGATGCAATTACATCCACCTGATGAATCTCAGATGGGACGAAATGCGTGTCTTGGTTTCCACTGTTAGCCACTATCCATCTTTGTCGATAAGGATTATTTAGTCTTATACAATTTGAAAACTAGATAAAATTCAAATTTATAAATAATCATGATGAAAAATCAAAACCAACAATGAAGTTTCAATCCAGTCTATTGAGATAATCATGGTTTTCAATGAACTAATCGAATTAAGAAAGTTCAACATTATACAGTGAACTCTTTGTTAAATGTTTTACCCTTGTCAATTTACATACAATTCAAATGAATTTGATTTTTAAAAGTAATAAAACAAACAATTTGTATGGTACCCATTTAAAAACAAAGAAAAGAACTAATACACATCACTTACTAACATGATACAAATTGCACAATATTGAAATATACAAAAATATTGAACATTTCAGTATTACTGATGCTACAAATTTTCATTGGTTTCGAACGGTTTAATTATTTTCTTCCATATTTATATGTATTACTTAATAAGATACTTCCGGTAATATTTAACTTATTATGAAAGTAATGACTCTATTGGATAATAACATACCATCATTATTTAATTGTGTATATGTATGTCAATGGGAAAGTCAATGTAAAACTATGTACAATATCTATGTTAAGTAAATCCTATAGTACAGTATCAACTATATTTATAAAATTAAATATGATTATAGAATAATAATTACTTGGTCAAATTGTTGTACTGGCATGTTTTAGGTTTCGATACAAGGACATTAATATCTAGTTCTGATCATTAAAAATTATACACAAAACGGATGAAATTTCGGAAATACTACATGTCCATATCCTCGTTTTTTGTGTTTCGAGTTATACTACTTATTATTATTCAGTAGTCAAATAATGAGTTAATTGAAGCTTGACCATCAAGGAAAATCTGGAAGCATTGGACGACTGTTTCATCCTAGTTGCTTTGCTAACAATTTCTACGAGTGTGCCGTTGTTGTGTGTCGTGTAATACTATTAAATATTTACACATATTTATAACACTTACTGCATTTATCATTATAATTACTTTCTCTCAATCCCTTATATCAGTTATCATCAATTCCGTGGTCATTGAATCTTTATTTAAGTGCAATGGTTTCCATATTTTTCTTCTGGTTAACGTTTTGCTCGTTGGTAAAGGGCTATCAAGATTAGACACAGTTATCAGCTGTCACTTGCACTATCGTATGTCATAATTATTCTTTATGTTATCATCGCGGAAAGCCAATTTTCTCACAGATTTACAGACGCTCTAAGCGCCATTGATACCTCACAAGTTGAGGTTTGTGACTAATTTCTTCCTACTCATCAATGAAGAACCGCCTTTTAGACAAATCGTTGTTTTAGGAACTTCAGTTTCGCTCGTATTTCAGACGTGTGATCAGGCGTATGGTGTGGGGCTCATATTTTGTTGTCATTAGATTGGACAATGTTCGTCGAATGGCTCAATATTTATAATCACATAAAAATAAGTTAGAGACATGTGATGAGTAATGGGACAAGAAGTGTACACACACCTTCGCGCTCATATAAAAACAGTCAAGATTGATAAGCGAATAATTAACAAGGCCAGAATGTGACTCAGGTAGGATGAATAGAATGGGCTGTCCGAAAGCTAGAATAAGGTATATGGGATTGACATAATAACCGCCACTACAATGGTATATTAAAACTAATTATACCTATTAGTTAATATGGTTCTAGTACTACTGGGTTAATGGTAAGTGTCATCACGTTGATCTGGCCAGATTAATCTATTTACTTGCATGTAAACAGCTTATAATTATGAAACTTTTGAAAGATGATGAATTTCCGCCTGCTATAATGTCAGTAGTTTGCTTTCAACAGAATCAATTATTCTGTTAAATAATTTTAATTCTGAGTTAAACAAAGTTGAACTGAATCACTTGTTGAAAGATAGTTTGAACACAATGCAAGCTAAACGATTACATACGAATTTTAATCATATAATGGAACAACATATTACCTTCAAAGAGATCTGACATTAAACCGAAATGCCCGTTTGTAAAATCAAACCGAATGATTGGTACAAAGAAGAGTAATCTTCTCGTCAGAATAATTCTCAAAGGTGCACAATCATAAGTATGTGCTTTTTTTCAAAGTATTAAATAGCAATATATTTGTCAATAATAATAATAGTAATAATAATAATAATAATGATAATAATAATAATAATAGTAATAATAATGATTTGCTGTAAAAAAGAGTAAAACAGAGGTGATCCAAATATAAGCACAAAATATCCTATGTCTATTTCGAGAATAAATTTTGTTATAAGCTTGAATGTTCATCATGAGTGACAGATAAGATGGACGACAATGAATAATTGTAAAAGGATGGTTGTGTGAACTGATGATACGAAGCGTCGAAACAGAATTGGGATGTAATCAGGAAAGATGGAGCATTTAAAGTAAGTCTACTAGGTTTGAAAGGTCAATGGAGAATAAGGAATACTGACTTTGAAAAGCTATAAGTAAAAAGCACGGTGAAATGTGTGTTTGAATAAGTTTTCTTTCATAAATACAAACTTGGAATCTTCAGATGTGCGGCGAAAGCTGCAGCAATGGAAAGGGAAGGGAGACTAAGTAGTTTTAACGAGTTTGTATCGTGCTTATTGATTACATCGAGCTGTGAGTTTATTTTCATCGCATAGACTTTATTCACAGGGTAGTCGACTAGTGATCTTATTATGGGTCCACTCTCACCGAATTTCAACCATTTAGGACGAAGTTCTAAAAGCCACATAAATAAAATCAATATTTGTATGTGTGACACCGTTGGCTATCAATAGAGCATCAGAAATCTAATATTTTATTATCTACAGAATTATTTACGTGAAACCAGTGACTGCAATTGTGGTTTGTTCATTCAACATATGAGGTATTTTAAATAGACAATAAACATTTTCCGCATGTTTCTGATCATATGAAAAGTCACTGATCAGGATCAACCTCGTCATGTTGTAGTAGTGCAAGAGAACGATCTTACTAACCTAATCCAGTCATCCCTCATGAAGCAAAGTGTGCTGACCACGATCCTCCAATCAACTATTTTCAAGTCCTTCTAAATGCTGTCCATTCTTTAGACGTCTGCTTTCGACTCCGGGTGCAATATGTGCTTTGTCTACCTCCAGAGTCTTTTACTAATTGGCTATTCGACTGGAAGCTGTTTAGTGCTCTGACATATCAGGCAACCGATCTGAGGTATTTTGCATAGACAACTATTCACAATACCCATACTATTTTGATGGTTGTAGTAGTTCCCCAACCTTCAGCTCTGTATAATGGAACTGTTTTAACGGTTTACGCAGCATTCTTACTAATGTTGGCTGACAGTTGTTCAGAGTTCCATATGTTCTTCAATCGTCAGAATCCTGTCCTTGACTTACTAATCCGTGCAATTAAATCTGCATCAGATCCCACTTGTTTGTTAAAAATACTTCTATTCAGGTATGTAAAAGCTTCCGCCTGTTGCAATGTGAGTGATCTGATCAAACCAAATAAATGTGAACATACATGGTTTTTGGTATTAGGAATTCGCATTCATATTTGTTAGCGAACCGAAAGACATTCCGTTTTCTTATGCTAATTAAAATCCAACTCCTAACCAAGAAATGTTAATGTTTTTCAAATACAGTATGATAAATAACTGTTTTAAAGATTACTAATTTTCGACTTTGTCTCGCGTTTCTCATACCTTATAATTGCATCAACTTTAAACAATGGAAAAGAATAACCTGAGAGAAGAATTCTTTCTTGTTATTCCTCACATTTTAAAGGATACATGCTTGTTCGATTCCTACTGCACATCATATTCCAAGTCACGGTTAATAGATAAAGTCTGTCTGTCTGACTGTCTATTTAATATAATTAGTTAGATGAATAAAGCATTTTCATCATCCAAACACCTTGAATACTTATAAGTGCATATTGAAAGAGCGATGTCGATGATTTATAACATTTCTTGACATACATTGAAATGACTAGTTCTAAAAACGTAAAACACTTTGAATTATTCGGTTGCTAAAAATGAACCCATATAATACTTTCTTTGTTATAAATGCTTTTACCTCTATACACCATAAACTACAATCAGTGATCGAAGAAAATGGTTTCCTTTCCAGCTATATAGGTTAGTGAAGCTGAATGGCTTATCTGGAAACTCATTAATTACACAGTACAATTATCGGGGCTTGATAACTGTTTTTGTTTTGATGTGAACAATGTGATTTCAGAAAGAACCGACTAATCTTCATATTGCAAATTTTGTCAAGAATCTTTACATACTTCTGTGGCTGGAAAACTTGTTAGTTTATTTCTAACTACAATTAGTTTCGAATAATCGTAGTTAGATCAAAAGTCCTATTAAATATACAGAAATATTTCTATGATAAACAAACTCGAAAGAAAAGATCTCACAATTAATTTACAATGTTTTATGCAAATAGGAGGCTTGTACAATATTCTGTTATTCACTTAATGTTTAATGATAAAAAATGATGAGTTTTTCTTTTCCTTCACATTGTTCATTCATCCCATATAACATGTACTCATTTCAGAGGGAGATAATTCATAACAAGTTATCCGTATCTTGCATCCGGCGATATCTACATCAGTTAGTGATTTAGGATATAATGCAAAAGCAACAGTGTATACAGCTATATCGAATTCTGGAGAGGATCCAACAAAAATACCTCCTATCGGTTTTTCATATTTATCCTTATCAATATAAGTTAGACTGAGTAGTCGGTCATTACATATCTAGGATGAGAGAAAATAAAATAAATGAAATTGAATTGAAGTGATATTTGGTTAGGTCGGAACAGCAATTGATATAGAATAATATGAATTCGATATATTTTGTGGTTTCTCATCAGCTGCTTACAACCATTCACGTATTGAAAGGTAATATTGAGTAATGATATGATGTGAGACGATTGAGATTGATCAGGTAAAGAATTAGAATGATAAGGGTTATCAATAATATATATGTGTGATAGCTCGGCATCCACTTGACACTGAATATACCATTGACATCCTACAAACCTTCAACATTATTAACGGACAAGAAGATGCAGCTTGTCTTCGGTTTGTAGAAGAAACGGCGATTAAAATCTCAAACCTGTTTTATGTATCCTTATTTTATTGGTGTTTATCAGTGTATGATTGTGGACATTATTGGGTTTTTCCATTGAGATCATGAATTGATTGATGCTTGACCAGCATTGAAAACCTGCGAGCACTGGACGGTCGTTTCGTAATATTGTGGGAATCCTCAGCGGTGCGTATCCACATTCACATCACACCATTTCTCGGTGTTAACTTCCAATCAATGAATGGTTGTGAGCAGCTGATGAGTAACGACGAAATATATTGACTTCAGATTACTCTTCCTCAATCATTCTTCCGACTTTATCAAAAATGGGACCAATTGCATGAAATATCTAAAGTAGTATTGTCAGCGAAACAATAGGAATAATACAGATTAAAAATTTACAGTTTATACAATTGGAAAGAAACTTAAGTTTTATACCTACAGGTACGCTTAGATCTCTTTTCTAATTGTTATTACATTGAAGAAAAAGGAGTTCACCATCACTGGGTTTATGGCTATGTATTCATTTTAGAAATATATCACTCACCTATCTATTCAAAACCAATATTGTAAACTGGTTCTAATCATAATCAGTTCGTCTTACTGTTAACTGGAATTCATATGAAACAATTATCAGTGTTATATAAAATTATCAAAACCTTGTATGTTGTTTTGTCTTCAATATTGATAGAAATGCATCCAAGTACAGGAAATTAAATATAAAATTGCTATATATAATGCTTTTTCTAAAATAGGGTGAGTGTTTATTCAACATTAGGAACATCATGTCACTTTCAGTACACATTGAATGAAAGCATCTCAGTGAATGCTTATGTTTACTGATCTGTTATACACTGAAAGTGACAAATCTCGTTATTGATCACTTATTGTGATTAATATACATGATTAAGTAAAGATACAAAATGCTTACACTCTTCTTCCATCCATAATAATTTATTTCTTTGTTCTTTTCTTTCAGATAAAATTGAATCCAATTATGTAATCCAAGTATTTTGGATTTTTTATGTTCACCAACGAATACATGTTCAAAAGCGGATGAATCTCCAGGACTTTATATTGGTCATTATATCATTATTATTATTATTATCGTATGTTTTAGAAAGTATAGATTATCATTGATTTCATGTAAATTCCATGGAAAGTACAAAATAAATATAAAATAAAACATTTAAAGGAGTTTACACTTTCTGATAATAATTTGTTCTCATGGAATTGAAATTATAAAATAAAGTAAGTATACTGAAATATAGAACAATAGAGTTGGAAGGTGGGTCGATTTACTGGATATCTACACCGATTGAATTGTTAAAATTATTTTAATTGATTAGATAGTGAAATAGTTGTGATCATGAGTCAATTGAAGCTAGACCACGTTGGAAAACCTGAAAGCACTGGACGGCCCTTCCGACCTATTATGTGACTCCTCAGCAGTGCGCATCCATGTTATGTATCGCTCATCTAGAAATAACTACAAGATGAGTATTTATTTATATAATCTTATTTATAAGTATACGCTTTTAAATTAGCCATCAACCGAACATTTTACGCAGTGCAACTTGTTATTATTGAAAAGACAATGTCTAGGTTTCACCAAAAACTCAAACAGCACGTAAGCGATTGTGTCATATCCCATTATGTCTATCAATTTACATGTATGTGTATGTACAGGTACATAGGGTGGAGCGATCGTGATCTTCGATTAAGGGTGGCGGAACACTTACCCAAATGGCTGTAGAAACAAATGAATCCAAATAGTCAAATAAGATCATCGGATAAACAGACATCTTCCTCCTTTGCAAAACATTTGTTTGAGACTGGTCATAAGGTTGATATCAGATTTCGAAGTTTTGTACAAAGGCCTGAGTTTTGTTGAAGCCTTGGTTATACGAAAACTGAAACCCAATTTATGTGTTCAAAGGCATTTTGTTCTTCCCCTTAACCTACTCTGTTATTACCAATTTATTATCCAGAGTGGTTATCACATTGTTTTTGTGTACTTTATTTTTGTTTGTCACGACCTACCTTCAGTCTGTCTAGCTGACCTTTTAATTTTCATATAAAAATGTCTTAACAAGTATATGTGTGATCAGATTGTTCGAAACGTATTGCGCAAATGTAGCACATAATTGTGATAAGTTTCGTCTTCTCATTGCATTATCGAAATTTATTAATGGGACTAATTGTTTTTCAACTAGTTGGCTTAAATTATATCTTTTCATACAGAATAGTTTATAAGTTCTATTTTCTATTCGTAAATTTCAATAGAATATTTCAATGTTCCTAGTAGAAGAGATGAGATAATAATTTCATGAGAGAGAGGGAGAGAGAGTATAGTACAAAACATAAGGCTACTTGTACATGAATAACATTGATCAACTCTGGTGAGAAACGTTTGCTCGTTCAAACCCAAGACTGATGAAACCTAAGACATCAAAACTGTAAAACAAAGCTTAATTGGTTAGATAGTCAAAGTGTTGAAAGTGTTAACACTTACACATCCTTCAGTATGATAGTAATTTTAGCAAATTATTTATTATATAAATCTGATCTTTCATTCATTCTGATGTTAGAATTATCAAGAATCCAGATTCCCTCTTAGAATTTATGGTATGAGTTAATGTCTCAATATTGCGAGTTTATTGGTTAAACTAACATATATTTTGACATATGGAAGTCGGTCACTAGTTACTTCTGTTAGTGTCACCTTAATATAACTAATTCTCATCTTGTGAACACACACCGAAATTGATAACTAAAATTTACAGCACTGAATTTAAGGCAGTTGCAAAATCCTACTCTTATGATGTTTTTTCGAACATATCATAACTTGAAAATAATAGGTAAAAATAATCCATTATTTTTAAATAAAATTAGTGTAGTTACTTCAGGAAAACTATCCAGATAGTATTCGGAGATAGAGACACTACATAGATCTATCTCAACACACCTGGTTGACAGTGGTCACATAGTAAATCAAACCAATTCATTTCGAATGATTTATCATATTCCTATATCGTTTCTTCATGGAGTTCAGTTTCGTTTCCAAAATATAGCAGAAACTATAGGAATCTGGACATAGAACGTTAGTTTACAGGTTCAGAAGAAATTTGTGGCATCCATATACCATCCTTGGTCGCACATGAAGTAATAAATTATTTTATTGATTTTTTCAAATCGTTATTCACCTCTACCTGTCTATATTCTTCACAATCTGGTTATTTACACAAACTTTTTAAGTGTAAATTTAATAATCCTTTTGTGATTATTATTTTAAAATGTACTGAACTAATTCTGACCTACTTCCTATGCTGAACCGCTTATGAGGAGTTTAATGGTTTTTATTATTCTAATCATATTCCTATAAGTACACATATACTACTGTCAATTAATACTCTTAATCCGATTGTATTTAGCAACATGATCAATTGCATTTCGATTACTGACTTGATTGGTTCAATATTTCCATATATCCATATAAATTCTCATTTGTATCAGAGCAAACACTGATGACGATTTAAATACAAACAATATTGTTTGCTTACATATGTTGTTTTAACTTACAATAATGCAAGATATATACTTCAGAAATCCCCTGACTCTCTGAAATTTCTCAATGGTAATTAGTAAGCCATTGATATACATCGATAGATACTACTGCTCAATATGAAGAGAGGTGTTTCGTTCCATTATGTGGAACGCAATGATGGAAATGTGATACATTTCTCCATTTCTGTTATTGTAGCTAACGCAATGCCAAGTAGTAAAACAAGTCGAACAACTCAACTTACCGAGGACATATCTCTTCACCACAATATCCAACTTCATTTCATCAATCTATCAATATTCTATCGGTCAATATAACAATCGTAGTCAAATCATACTAAACTCACCTTCTACGTTTATATCGCTTGAACCACAAATCCTTCAAGAATTTTCCAAAGTTTTTAATATCTCCTGACAACTTTTGTTTTTCGATAAGGAAATTATAAGTCATTTTCATGACTTTTGTTTTTAGCAATTCATTGATAAAGTCATCTTCCTCCTTCTGTTGTTGTTCTGTGACGATTTCAGTGACACCAACTTGAGGATTGTAGTTATCCAATAGTGCAACGAACTCTGTAGTATAAATATAATTTTGAATTCAAACTGTAATCATTTTATGACGCCAACATATACAAATATTGCTTGAGATACAATAGAAAACTACATAAATCTCAGCGTGTGGATGTCGCGAGTAACTCGTTTCTAACCTAACCCAATGTCTATCTAACGTCTGATTTTGGCTGAGGCGTTTTACAATTCACAAACCCAAAATAATTGTAAGTACTATGATCTGAGCTATGAAAGATTCTCATTCGTCGAAATGTTTAAGCGTTGGCAATTCAATATTCGAAAGCATTCAATACATTTTGTGCTAAATCACGTGTGCTATGAAATATATTAAATTTACTGTACTAAAATGCTGTCTAGAAGAATGTTGTTGCGAGTAAATACATAAAAAGTGTTAAAAATTTTCAAGTAACCTAATAGAGTTGTGAACAGGTTGACATCAGGATTGTTCAACTTGTTGAGGCTTTATTACAATGCTTAAGAGTAAATCCGGTTCATTTACTATATTCTTCACAAACAATTCATACTAATAAAGTATCACCTATTTCTATTCACTGCATTCTAATGTTTTTGATTTTACGTTTTTGCTCAAATAGTATGCGTTTACAGACTAGACAAATACATTTCTACATTTAAACGTTGGTTTTGTGATACAATCGAATGAAGGGAAATTCCAATAGGTTTTTCTGAACTGGATCCTTAATCCATCATTTTATATGTTATTCATCTATCATGGAATTGTACAACAACAATTTAATTTCAATAGTTGAGATCATGAGTCCATTGAAGCTAACCTACCATGGAAACCCTACAATAGAACAAAATGACCATCCAATGCTTCCAGTTGTTCCATGGTAGTCTAGTTTCAATTAATTCACTACCTTAACTTTTAAAATGACTATAATATCCACAAAAGAAACCCATTTCGATATTAACAATTTAATTGTTAGAGAATATACGTAATTTGCAAATATTATTCATATTACTTACTTGCAAATGTCGGTCTGTTTCTCAATATATCTTCATCAACAAATTCGAACAATGGCTTAGTTGACAAATCTACAAGCTTTCTAGTATTCTCAAGATTTGCTTTTAATAAAATGAAATTAACAAAAGAATCATGAATTAGGTATACCAAATAATGATATTCACTTAATTGTTATTAAGAAAAATATTAAATCAAAGATTGATAAAGTGGTCCTTTATGATGGTGAATCCTGAAAAAAATATTTCATAATGTGGCAAGATTATAATAACTTATGGACGAACCAATCAGGTATAAGATAACAAGTCTCGGATTTTGGCACAAAATTCACTCTACCATTTGGATATATAGAGTGTTGGCATTATAGCTGATATCAGTTCGTGATTGAGACCTGAAATCTGATTCATAAGCTTAATCATGTACTAAAAATCACAATTCGAATTCCTTACACATGATCATGACCCACATTTAGTGCACATTTTTGAGTGGACACTCTCAACGTCAGTCTGGTGTCGCTCAAGGATCTTTCATAAATTATAGTCTCACTCATAATGTTAATGCAAATTAACTTAACTAAAAAATCTAAAGCAAAATTTTGAACTACGAATCATTTGTTTCAAAGATAGGATTACATCTACTGACATACTAGATATAAGGGCGCATAAATAACACAGGTTATGAGCTTATTTTGACGGTTGGATAGATCTAAGGTTTCGAAAAGCTATTGTATTTCAGGTATGAATATATTCGATATTAGATATGCCAAATTACTTAATTTCACTACTAGATGTAAAACACACACTATAACATTTCAACGAAACATCATTCAAAATTAAACTCCATTTCTGTAGTTATGAACAACAACATTTTCTTATTCCATAAACTTTCATTGTTTTAGTCAGAGATGAACAGAAGCATAATGCACTGCTATGTTCATCATCACTATATGAGTTTTGAAAACGATGGAAATAATAGATGAAATTGGTGAACAATCAGCTAATTCTGTAGACATTTAACGCATAACTAGCACATGAGTGAACTAACAATTTACACTCTCCAGCAACATTTCAACCAGTCGTGTTCACAACCAATCACCAATAAATCAAATGACTGTTTCCATTCACAGTATTTGCCTCGTAACTGACAGTGGAATTCAGAAGACACATTGCATTATATCTCGTTCTGATCAGTCGGATGGATCAACATCCAAGCAATGATGTTCACAATGAGACATGAATCCAACAACCATCACTTCAAATACCAACGGTTAATCCAATAACATACTCAGTACAATCACTTACTAATCTCTATGAATTTATCTGTGAGAGTTTGTGACTTCCCATTCATCTAATTACCTTTGAATTTCAGTAGTCATTTCAGTGTAATAGAAACGAGGAACAATGTTGATGAACTCAGTGAACAAACAATATTATATTTATCACAGAGAAAATACTATCATGACTTCTTAGAACAGTATGCACTATGTCTATAGAGATTGACAAAAATGGAATTGGAATTACCTTGTAAATTGAGTTTGTAATCTATACCAGGTCGAAGTTTATTCTCATCCGCTTTGTACAGTTTTGTATAGAATTCACTCAATTCCTTATTTTCCCCATGTGGTTCATTGTGATCCGACACCCTAAAAGTTGTAAATAATCGTCAATAATGAAACATGAAAATCCGTAATTGATTTCATTTAAAACGAGATTCAAAGTATATAAACTGTTATTCATGTCAGTGAGAATGAGATTTATCGTATAGCGTCACCTGTCAGTTGGCATCTTTAATTTGAAATGACACCACGGTAGGTGTTCAGAAATTCACCTCCTACTATTCAGTCATTTGATTCCAGATGAATTTACTTCGACTTGAACTTAAAACTCAATCGAACTGAAATTTCATCACAAATTAAGCTTAAAATCAAACAATCACTGTAAATAATTTTGTGTTTTAGTTGCAGTTATCACAATGAAGTTATATTTAAGTAAATTTCATCACTATTAAGTCCAATGTTTAGAATCTTTGCATTCTAAGTAAAACGATTAACAGAATATTTGACTTCAATTCCCCTCCTCCGTTTAATGAAATTAGAGTGATTTGTATGCAACAAAATGACTGATCGTCATAAGTGTTTATAATAACACCATGTAGGACAGATATTAAAATGTGATCGTTAGCTACCCCAATCCGTTGTGAACTTCAATAGAACAGTGAAATCTATACAAGGTGCTTTCAAAACTATCCGGAACACATCACAATACACAAATGGTAATCATGTGTTTTAAACAATCAACATAAAAACGAACAACTCTACAATATCATTGGATTGAGTGCATTGAATATCGATTAACTAATGCAATTGAATAATTCAAGGTAAAGCATTAAGGAAGTAAACATCTGAATTATCAGATACAAAATTAGTACAGACGTATAGACTATTCGATATTTTACCAGTGATATTATAGTATTACTTAAATAACACATAATGTAATCAGTAGTAGAAAATAAATTGACAAAAGACGTGTCTTAATTTAGTGATTATCAAATTATTCTGACAGACATTTAAGAGAAGCACAAATCTTGAGTAAATGATTCATTGGATTTTGTTTTTCGAAAGGAAAACAGAATTCATTTGAGTTAAACATTTGCTTGATCAATTCATTGTAAATTATTTAATTTCCGAATATTGTTTTGGTCAATTTATTTAACTTTCACCTATCAATGACACTCACATTTTTCTTTTATTAACTTAGTGAATGTCGAAGTTAAAGGACATTGTGCATAGAACGATTTCCTAGTTAAATTATAATCCATGAGTCAATTGAGGCTAGACCATCATGGAAAACCTGGAAGCACAGGACGGCCGTTTTTTCCTAATATGCGATTCCTCAGCAATGCGTATCCACGATCCTGCCTCGCGAGATTCAAACCCAGGATCTACTAGTCTCCTGAACAAGCGCTTAACCGATAGAGCACTGAGTCGGCATCCAACGGTGTTAATGTCTAACTTCAACCAATTCACGAAGTTGCACCAACAACCACCATTGTCAATATGGTGATCTAGCTTTAATTGACTCATGAATTCAACTATCAAATTACTATAATATCCACAAAATCCCTCTCTGATTATATTACAATCATCACACATTGATATCTCAACATCATTATGTTTACATATCACTGTGTTGTATAACTTCTCCCGTCAGTAATCATTTAATGTAAAAAAATTTAACTTTTAATCTAATCATGTAGAAACAAATTTACTTCCAGATTAAATGCATCATAATATTTACTATTGTTTGATATGGAGACTATTGAATATGAAATTTCAAATCCACTAATCTACATTACAGCCTATGATGATAATCACGATATATCATGTTGTGTTTAACTTCAAATCACAAATCTCAGAGTTCTACTTAATAAGGTTAAAACTAGTGAAGTTTAACAACATCGAGTTCGAGATGAATATCACTGTTGATGAAATATAATGACCACTTTATGTCATGAATTTATCAAAGTTAAAAAAACAAATAATCGGATGCTAACTCAGTGATTTGACGATTAAACACTTGTTGAAATGTCTGAAGGCCTTGGATTCGATCCCACCTAGGATGATTGATACATAGTACTGAAAAGAGTCTCATTAGTCTATATTCAATTAACTAGTAATCATTTTGTCTACAGAATAAGAATGAATTATTTGATGATTATCTGTTTTCTGAATACAAACTACATCATATCTCAGAAGTTGAACGCATAAATGAGATAAGGAAATACAAGCGTTTCAATAACAAGTAACTGACAATTTATTATTCGAAACAAAATAAGCAACTATTTCTTATATTACTCAAAACATTTATTAAATATACAACGCTTACTGGCATGGCACAAACTGTAGAACCTGCAAATACACAAGAATTCTGATGATTTCAATAACACCAATCTTGAATACTTTCATCATTTCAAAAGATTCAATTATATTATCCTCGTTACTCGTCCATATATATACACTGTAGAGCACCACTAGTATTAATAATGTAAGTACACACATTACAAACATAATATACAAATGCACAATTGTTTGGTTAGTGTTATAGTGCAATTTGTTGAGTTCATATTATTGGTGAAATCGTCTACATATTTTTTTCAATGGTTATTTAGGTTGATTGACATAACCCCTGCTAAACGAAAATGTAAGCATTATGATTAATAACAAAAGCTCTTAAACTAAGTACAAGAATTTATTCACAATCGTATTCAACAGCCTAAGAAGAACTGACTGATGTCTCAATGAGCAGAACAACTCTGACCAGTAATCAATTTTCAAATACACAAACAAGGTGCCGTTCAACTCCTCTAGCAAACATAGTAATAGAATCTGAAATTGGTCTCTCTATACATAAGTAGCAAAATACCTTTCCACTGAACACTATATTCTTTTAGATCCTTAGTGTCCCATTGTTGTCTTCCACCATTAAAATGTGTCTGTCTAAAATTTCACAATAAGATTAGAAAGTAATGTGAGGAAACCACCTAAAATAGCGTTTAAGCCACTTAAACTTCACCTAGAGACCTACTGCGATTACTGACAGTCTTAAGTCCAAATAGAGAAATAGGGTTGGGCATTAGGTTAGCAATCCTACCCCGTAAAATACTCTGCTTAAAAATTACTAATCATGAATATTAAACTCATGATAATTATTAATTTTGGCCAATGTGGAGGTTGACTTTTGACCTACATAATAGTTGAAGTGTTCAGCAGTGAACTCTATCTGTTTAACTACCCAAAACAATCATATGAAAATGAAAACTGTAAAATTCCTTTGGTAAACAGAAATCATGTAAAGTTCATATGTAACTGAGACCAGTGACTGATTTTATTTTCAATCCTAAAACAGGGAAAAAGTATAAATCTTGTTGTAGAAAATATAAAGATTTGTGCACAGTGAATTGGTTTAACTAAATGGTGATGCAAGATTCTGTTCCCTTCATAGGAAGTCGAAAACAGGCAAAGATATTAAATATACAAATTTTATTTTGTTAGAAACTTCTAAGATCATACTAATTTTATTGCCGATTCATTGTAAATGTAAAACACGACATGAAACCAAATTAAATTAGAAGAGAAATAAATGTAATACATTCCTTCACTCTGAAATCGACGCGATAATAGAAGTCTCACTGTATAGCCGGTCAATTACAAAGACAAAATTAGCTGGTTAGTTTTGTGGTAGTTAAAACATGTTAAAACATACCCATTCAAAACAACCATCAATAACTTGAACACAAAGATAGGTTTTGTAGCAGTCATAGTGTTTCACCTTCCAATAGAAAAAATTCAGTCACTTCCTTGTACAGAGAATAATACCATTTTTGTGTCTTGAACATTCATTCAGTTGAGAAACAAACAGAGATTGAGAATTTGACAATCGGAACACATGCCGATCTCCGAATTAGCTTTCGTTAGGCGATTATTTCCATTTCTCAGAAAACATTCAAGACACTTAGATCCTGCTCAACACCAAAATGTTACATAGTGGCAGAAGTGTTTCCCACAATATAATAGAATTGGTGTGAAATGGATTTTGATATCTCATTGATGTCCTGAATGTTTCACGGAGCATATTACTTTACCAATCATCAAGATGCCGACTTGCTGGGGATTGGTCAGATGTTATGATTATGAGATATCCAGCTAAATTCTGTTGAATGCGATTTCCCTTTACAAGCCTGAATCTCAATATTAGATCAATAAATTCATGTATCGGTAGCCAGAAATTTAATAATAATGACACAATCCTTGCGGCTGTTTCGCCATTTACCAAGTTCGACCATATTTTCAGAAATGTTATTCGCTCTAACTATGGAGTATTCAGAGAAGTATCAAGATCTAGTAAACAGGATCCCATAGTCTGTAAACTAGTGCACTACCTTTGTCACTGTGGAACACTTTACCACCAATCGAAATACTCGAAACTGTTCCAAAGAAGGCGACCTTATTTAAATGTACGTTTAGTTTGGAAATAATGTTGCAGTTCGTAGTAATATAAGACAATCACTATTAAATCCTTGACACCTTTCTCATTCTGTTTTGGAAAGCATGAACGAATAACCCCACATTTACGCATACTGGTCACACGTCAATAAATATTTAGGAAAAATTGCAAGCCGATGGGAAATTTACAATTACAGTAATCAGAATGAGTAATTAAAGCAGAGTTGTGACCATGATCAGAATCAACTAAACCGTTGTCTTGCATTCACGTAAGTTTTCGGAACTATTCGAGGAAAAATAACTACTGATTGTAATCGAAGCACTTCTAAAACGATCAAAAGTTTTGTAGTGAATAGTCTTTTTCACTCGTGGGAAGGCAAAACACAAATAGTTACTCTAAACTAGCAGACATTACTTTTTCAACAAGGGAACACAATTTAACTCGGAACAACTGGAAAGGTTCCATATGGAAATAATGTCGGTTGTGTATGATCTTCGCCATAAAACGTTTATTTGAAAGCTCAAGAAAACTGATCTTTTGGCAGAATATGAAGAATTCTTCATAAGGGAGAGAGGAGAGAACATTACAATGAATTGTGTACAGGTTTCAGCGAAATTACCCATCAAGAGATGGTGGAGAAGATTTGTAGCTCAGGCGGTTGATTTTGTTGGGGTTTTGTTCTATGAGCTGGATGGTTTAGTCATAGAGCTTCCATCGTTCTTCTGGACAACATCATCAGCACGAACTGCAGGTAGAAGTGGAGTGTTTCGTATTCTCTACATATGACTCACAGCTTGTCCTGTTGAACTCGATCTTGATTGGTTATTGTTGGGTAAATTGGAACACTTCACTTCTAGTCAAAGTTTGTGCTGATGGTGTTGTTCAGGAGCCCAATGAATGTTTCGTGACTAAACCGTTCATCTGAGAGGACAAAACTTCACCTAAATCATCCACCTGAGCTAAAAATCTTCTCCACCATCTTAAAATACAATTCAATATTATACTAAACAAAAATAGCATGAATTTCAGGCAAGGAGAATTTGTGCTTGCTAATTACCATAGATTTACTCTTTGGAATACTTATTAATCTGTTCTGGAGTGAAACTAGGCGAATAAACCAAAGTTTTGTACTAGATACAGTTCTCATTCAGTTTTTATCACAAATTATGTTAAATTATCTTAGTTATTCGGTTCTATTTGGGTGTATTCTATCTCAACCTGATTGTAGTTACTATAGCAAATCGATAATCGAACAAACCAAAATGTACTGTCCTGTCAAGTTACCTTTGAGTACTGTTTGATGCTGTACCGAGTTATTACTAATTAGGACTGAATAACGTCTAAAATGTACCATCATAATGAATGTAAATATGTATTAGTCCTTCATAAAACTCACATATGGACAATGATGGTGCGTTGATATTTTAAGCACAGCAATATAATAATCAAGTTAATTATTGCCCACATATGCTTTGTCCAGAAGTGATACAGACAAACAGTTTCTCTAATAGCTATGTAGAGTCTTTTCAAACAACTTCTACAACCACTGACCAGTTTCCAATCAGAGATTTATTACGTCGATGAATAAGGGGTGTTTCACCTGTGCTTTCTAATTGATCTATTAGTTTCTGCGAATCAAGTAAAATTGTCAAAATTAGTAATGCTGAGTTATCGAAAGGATTAGACATTTTTGCTTTTTCATTACTAATCAAAATAATCTTTCCACAATTCCAACAATAAGTACTTGGAATATCAGTTGTCTACAGAGAACGAATTTGAAATTTTTGAGATATTTTAGGACGACCCAACGTTTGGAGATCAGTCTGTTCCTTCCCAGTAATTTGTTTAAAACCTGAAGTTAGCCAAATGTTAACTGATTTTAATAGATCGTCGTCAATTCAGTAGCATTATTTGCAACAATTCAGAAATTTAGAATCACCTTATAACTTATCAGTTGAAACTTAAATACACTAAAACATTTGATTATATATTTTACTCATGGGTTGTACTTATTCCAAATTAAAATGATAAACCTAGTAATTTATCTGTGCTTACACTAATAGATTGTTTTAACTAATCACTTACTTACTTACGCCTGTTACTCCCAATGGAGCATAGGCCGCCAACCAGCATTCTCCAACACACTCTGTCTTGTGCCTTCTTTTCTAGTTCCATCCAATTCTTGTTCATTTTTCTCATGTCTATCTCCATTTCTTTGGTCTTCCTCTTTTTCTTTGGCCTTCAGGATTCCATGTGAGGGCCTGTCTTGTGACGCAGTTGGGTGCCTTCCTCAATGTGTGTCCTATCCACTTCCAGCGCTTCTTCCTGATTTCTTCCTCCACTGGCATCTGATTTGTTCTCTCCCATAGTAGTTGTTGCTAATAGTGTCCGGCCAACGGATCCGAAGTATTTTGCGTAGACAACTGTTAATAAACACCTGTATCTTCTGGATGATGGCTTTCGCATTTCTCCAGGTTTCTGCCCCATACAGTAGAACTGTCTTGACATTTATATTGAAAATTCTGACCTTGGTGTTGGTTGACAGTTGCTTTGAGTTCCAGATGTTCCTCAATTGTAAATATGCTGCTCTTGCTTTACCGATCCGTGCCTTCACATCTGCATCAGATCCACCATGTTCATGAATGATGCTGACTAAATATGTAAAGGTTTTTACATCTTCCAATGCTTCTCCGTCAATTGTGATTGGATTGGTGCATTCTGTGTTGTATCAGAGAATCTTGCTTTTCCCTTTGTGTATATTGAAACCTACTGCTGTTGAGGCTGCTGCCACACTGGTCGTCTTCTCCTGCATCTGTTGTTGCGCTTGGGATAGAAGGGCCAGATAGTCTGCGAAGTCTAGATCATCCAACTGCATCCTAGATGTCCATTGTATCCCGCGCTTCCCTTCAGATGTTGACGTCTTCATGATCCAGTAGATCACCAGGAGAACGAGAAAGGGTGAGAG